GGATAGGGTGCAAGGGTTTTTTACAACTTTTACTGCACAGGGTTGGACCAGTCAAACTTCAAATGCACAGCCAGTGGTCAAACCCTGATTGGATAGGGTGCAAGGGTTTGATCAAGTCAAATGCACAGCCAGTTTTCAAACTCTTTGCAGTCAAATGAACACTGAACTCAAGCAGTGGTGCACTAGCATCTGTCGGCCGGCGAATGCATTTTAAAATTCAGAGGCCGACCATCACTGCGGATTGTTCCATCAACCTGCAGTGCTAGTCTTTATGTGTCTGGGCTGTCTTACAGCATGCCAAAAACACGCAAGTGTGGTCGGCTGGCGTGATCGAATGGCAAGGCTAGAGTTGATTGAGAGTACTCTGGAGTGTGGATCTCTAGGTCCTGAGAAAGTTCGGAGAAACTGAAGGGAGGGATCACATCTGCTTTATTGTTTTTTTCTGTCTGTCTATATTTCAATTGCAGGACTCTGATTTCAGTGTGCAGAAAAAGTCATACAAGCTGCTGGCCAAGATGTACGAGGTAATTGTGTCCGAGTACATCGCATGCCTTTTTTTGTTTTATGAACTTTTATTACGTTCGCTTTCCCCAAATCTTTTGGGTCTGCTGGCTGAGAAGGCAACAGGGAGTGCATTTTGAGTGTGACAAAAGGATAGTGTGTGTAGTTGCTTTGAAATTTTCAAGTATTTCGCTGTGGTTTATTTTTGCCCGATGTTCTTGCTGGCATTGGGAAAGGAATGCTTTTGCCTTTTTAAACCGTCTTCGATCAGCTTGCCTTTGTTTGTTGCCTTACCTTCTCAGGCTCTGGGACTTGGAAAGACCTGACCAAAAATTGATCGGTTGATGGTCACCCTGTTAAGTTGTGACTCGTGAGTTTCGTGATCATTTCGTAGAGTGATGAGCTCATGACCTTTGATCTGACCGTGGGGGAGAGAGAGAGAGAGAGAGAGAGAGAGAGAGAGAGAGAGAGAGAGAGAGAGAGAGAGAGAGAGAGAGAGAGAGAGAGAGAGAGTTTTCAGTTCATTCCGTCATCATTGTGTTTTGAAAACCCTTTTAGGATCGGTTGTCTTTGATGGTATGCGCTGTTCCGTTTTTGCGCCTCGAGTTTATGCAGTACATCACACTATTGCTGCCGTTTTACCTCACGCAATCCTGAATTAGGGGACTTTCTCTTCTAAGGAGACCACCTTTTTTCCTTCCCTTTCTTTTCCTGGTTAAAGGATTGGATGGGTTCATGATTTGTGCACGGCATTTTTGCGCAGGGGGCATATGCTAATCATCTGAGAAATTTGAATTTTTAGTGGACATAATGAATTTTATCTGTTATGCGCCGGAAAGTTGCGGAAACTTCAAAAAGTAAATGGCATTTCGACCATGCCCGCCTCCCTCTCCCCCTTCCCCCTCCCCCCTCCCCCCCCAACTTTCTGCTGCCATTTATTTTTGGTTAACAAAGTGTATCGGTTTGCCTTGCACCTCTTGTAAAGTTGTTCCTTCTTTCCATATTTCTTTTAGCTATCACTTTGTTGACAAGCTAGGCTACCATCCGACCGCCCGGGTCACCCTGTTTTCCCCGGCGGCCCGGCCGTGCAAGGACCAGGGAAGGTAACAGCCAAAAAAAAAAACAAAAAAAAAAACCATCCCCCAAAAAACGATGTTATGCAGAAAAATAAACCGAACAACTTTTGCCTGAGTTTTTTTATTTTTTTTTGCCCAGCCGGGCAAGTGATCCCGGGCCACTCTGGTAGCCTGGTTGACAAGAACTTTGTTTGTTGTATGTCTGTCGGTTAGTGTGCATCTCATAGCACAGAAAAAAGGGGAAAATCCCCAGAGATGATTGTTTCTGACAGCAATTGAACTCGTTATCATTGGGTCGTAAAGCAAGTGCTATATGCGTGTATCATTCAGCCACACAGCTGGGTACGTGCAGTTCATTCTGGATTGACTATGTTGCATACTTTGGGAAAATAATTTCCCTCACTATAAATGTGGATTGCATGACAGCTCATCATTTCAGACATTTCTAACTCTCTGATTGTATTGTGCATACGGTGGTGGTTGTACTCTTCGGAAATGCAGCTGAAAGGTGCCTTCATGGCATCGCTCACTCAAGATATGTTGGAGGCGTTGCTGGCTTCCCTAGGAGTCTGCCATTCCACTGCCCGAAGAGGGCGCCTCATTTGTGTGCAGCATGTAGTTATTAACCTCATCAAGGTACGGTTTCTCCTTTCCTGACCCGTAGCTTCTTTTCGTGATGGCGGTCTGGTCCGGCGAATTGTAGAGGCATGGGCATATACCTGGTGATGTCTATTTGACAACGCGGAAATGTGTATAGTAGCCGCAAAGTTTTCTTTGTCCCTTTGCTTTCTGTGCATGCTTTGGCAGGGGGAATGTGGAACTCACATGAACTTTGTGAAATGTGGCTTTGTTCACTCGAGCAGAGGAAGGACCCGCAGGCATCGGACGCGTTGGCAACGCTGATAAGTGAAGTTATACTTGCTACAAAAGAGGTGTGTGATCTGCCACCCACAGCTCTTCAGTTCTGTTATTACCTTTCTGTTTTGTTTTGCATTCTATTTCTGAGGAAGGGAGGTAGTGCTTCATGCTTTTGTATGCTAGAAGGTTTGGAGTATTCAACTCACTCATGACAGACATGGTAGCGAACAGCGAGTTGCATCATCAACTATTTGCATATCATCTTGAAGGGGAAGAATTGGGCACACGCACACGCACGCACGCACACACACACACACACACACACACACACACACACACACAGAGAGAGAAAGAGAGAGAGAGAGAGAGGTGGTGCATTGAGTCATCATAACCTGATAGCAAGTAAGAAAATCAATTCCAGAGGAGTTCGTTTGCAAGTGCAATACTTTTGAACTGCGGGCATTTTTTTCGTTGATGTTGTGAAAAGGTCATTTGGTGTTTTTTCCTACTAGGACCTGTGACATCTTTCTTCTGTGACTACCAATGCAGCAGAATGGTGCAATGGTGCAATGGTGTGTGTGTGCATGAGAGAGAGAGAGAGAGAGAGAGAGAGAGAGAGAGAGAGAGAGAGAGAGAGAGAGAGAGAGAGAGAGAGAATTAATTGCAACATCTTGACTGGATAGCAGTTCAGGTCAATCACCTCCAGGTAGGTAGCCTAGGGAGCTGTGTGTTATGAACCTGGTTGCTTGTTGTCAGAAGACCAACACTCGCACGCATAGACTTCCAGGTATGCCCATACATACACAGAAAGGAAGAGGATGGGAGTATCACACCGCACAGATAGAGATAAACACAGCGGAAGGCTTGACCATGCGATATGACAGAGAACACTGAAAGTGCACTTCACTCCACATAATCCTCACAACCAGTCACAAAGGAAAGCCGATTAGATCACATCCAAGAAACAATGAAACAAAGATTGTGCAAGGAACATGAGTATGGAGGAAGCACAGAAATCCGGAATGCAAAATCACACTGAAGTCCAAGTATTCAAAGCCAAAGCAGATAGCACATGGAACCGAGTAACCATCCCATTGAGAATGATACAGAAGAATCGTGAGTCAATGTCCATGCCCACCAGGGCAACACCAACAGCATAACCCAAATGTAGCTCTCTCTTGTGAATGGCGCCAGGCGCCCTATCTACTCTACAGCCTATCCTAC